TTCGGGGTTGTAAGGCGGGCGAAATATAGGGGCCTTAATAATTAGAATAGGGTACTATACTACAGTCCACCTAATTCTGAAGGCCCCTACACCCTAAACCCTTATAGTAGCCGTTATAGAACCCTTTAAAGGAGTCCCAAAACTCTATTCTAATTATTAAGGCGCCTACACCCTAAACCCTTATAGTAGCCTAAAGGAGACCCAAAACCCCTTATACTAGCCTTTATAGAACCCTTTAAAGGAGCCCCAAACCCTGTTCGAATTGCTAAGGCCGCTACAATAGCGTTTAGACCAGGGGACCGAGTAAGTAGATCTGTCAGGGGGTCAAAGGTCCCAGATGGGCTGAACCCTTTAGGGAGTTCAGGGTGTAGAGTGTAGGGTTTAGGGTATAGGGTTTAGGGTTTAGGGTTTTGGGGTTTAGGGAGTTTAGGGAGTTTAGGGAGTTTGGGGTTTAGGGCTTTTTGGGTCCCATGGTCCCCAAAACCTTGGACGAATCTGTGTAGCCTCGACACTTACATCCCAGACCGAAGCCGGGGGTGAGTTACCCGGTGCTTCGAGAAGCCCCAGGCCCAGTTTTGAACCGCAGCCAAGATCTAGGCCATTTTCAAGTGGGTAGTTGCCGTTATAGGAGCCTGATAGAAGGTCTATATACCTTATGGAAGCCTTATAGAAGCCCTGCATACCCTAAACTCCCCACCTGTAGTTTCCTTTAGCAAGACTCCACGCCTGACCCCCCCCCGCCCAAACCCTGAACCCTTAGCCCAAACCCTCACATCGGTTTAGAGTTTAGGGTTGAGGGTTTACGTTCTGGGACATTCTGCAGCCCTGACTCATGAACTACCCCTGTTCGTGCCGTGCTCTGCAGCGACCGTCTGTAGTTACATCGTGCTCATCTCCCATCTTCCTCTCCGACTCAACACAATGGCTCCCAACGCAGCGGCTTCCAAGGCACCGGCGTGATGCGTAGAGTTTAGGGAGTGAGGGAGGGGACAGGGGAGGGAGGAGGGAGGGGGGGGGACGAGACGGGACGGGACGGGACGGGACGGGACGGGACGGGACGGAGGAGGGAGGGGGGGGGGGACGGGACGGGAGGGACCCCTCTGCACTGTTTTTGAGTTTATGGTCCAACTGTAGGGATCCCAGGCTTCCTTTAAAGGGTACTACAGGGTTTAGGGGTTTAGGGTTTTAGGGTTTTAGGGTTTAGGGTTTAGGGGTTTAGGTGTGCTTGGTTGCTCATTGGCCAGCTCCTCTGGGTTCTTGCTCATGAACTTGATCTTAAGCCCTTCAAGTTACCAAGGTAGGGAACTGTAGCAAATAGGGTGGTTTCCTGATGGGAACCTAAACAAGCTCCTAAACCCGAAACCCCTAAACCCCTAAACCCCTACACCCCTAAACCCCTAAACCCTAAACCCCTAAACCCCTAAACCCCTAAACCCCGAACCCCTAAACCCTAAATCCTTAACCCTTGACTCGA